GGCTCTGTTCCTCATTTGTGCCCTTTATCCATCCATGATCTCCTTTGTAAAGGGTCTGATTTTGAAACCTCTAAATGAGAGGGGCTTTGTGTTCCTTTGCCAGTCTGTTATGAGCTAAATTTCCTGCCCATGTACACTTAGGACCTGTCCAGGCAACATGGAACCATCTTTCCACTGTTCTCAAACCACACGAGGAGCAGGGTTAGAAGAGAAGGCTCCAGGCTCTGCTGGTCCACCCCAGGCTTAGCACTGACTCCTGAAGGGTTTAGTCATAGACTGTCTCTAAGCCAGGCACTTTCCCCTGATAACCAGAAGGAGAATTAGTTTCATGTCAATTCAGCGGAGGACTCTGGCCAAGTCATTTTACCTCTCTCTGGTGTTGATCCTCAGCAGCATTCTTTGCTTCTTTAAGACTATTTTCTCTCCAGTCACATAAGGGCATCTTCAAGGAGAGGCATGTGGAGTAGAGGCACATGCAGGGAGTTTGGGGTCAGACAGACTGGGTTTGGGCTCTGTCATTGTCTCTGCTGAGTGTCATTAGGCATATCATTTCATCCATCTGGACCTCAGTCTCATAAGCCGGGTGTCATTAGGCACATCATTTAATCCATCTGGACCTCAGTCTCACAATTTGCAAAACTGGGATCCTAACACCTATTTTTCAGGTAGTCATGAAGATTAAGATGATGCATACCAAAGTGTCTGGCACAGAGGAGGTAGGTGTTTAATAAATGGTAGCTATTATTACTACTCAAACTGTGTCACCAGACCACATTTGATGCCTGAAACCCAATTTTACGGTTTAAAAAACATGCCTTGTGAAAAGAGAAAAGCAACTTCGATTCATTCAACTAATCTTGTTTGGAGCCATCATTCATAACTTATCCATTTAAAAAATGAAAACAAATAATGAACTTTTAAAAATCCAGCTGAGCTACTTTGTTGAAAGAAACATTTCAATATAAACATGAATAAGAAATACATGGGAGATGTTTGCAAACATGGCTTGTGATTTTTTTTATAAATGGGAGTTAGAGGAGAGGCAGCATGGATGACAGGTCAGACTGGGAACAAGGTATTGGAAACTCAACCCAGTCCTGAGAGGAGGCAGTTTTGGGAAGGCAGATCTGGGTAGCTGGCACTGGGGTGGCAAGGGGTGTCCACCCCAATATGGAAGGAGGACAGACAGCAGGGGGAGGCCTGTTTAGCCTCCCGCTGTTGTCCTGCTCAAAGGGATGGGGTTCCTTCTGATAGGCAGTCAGTGGACCACGGTGCCCCAAAATCCCAGAAAGGGAAAAGGCACCATGTCTCAGGACAAACTCTGAACTGTGGTTTGGAGACCAGCTTCTGGTTCTTGTGTGTAGGGAGAGGACATGGGAGAAAGGATTGCTGAGGAGGTAGGGTTTTGGAAGATGAGAATTGAAGCCATACAGATCTGAGGTGATATTCATCACTTCCCAGGGGTGTACCCCTGACCATGTTGCTTTCTAAAGCCCCTACATCTCTTGCAAGGTAGACGAGCTCCGAAGGATCAGTGTTTACCACAGCCCTGGGACTTGGCATCTGCCAATGCATTTTATTCCCACTACTATGAAGGAGAAAAATCCTTAACCTAGCCACTTCTCACCACCTCCTGCCTGCACCTGGTTCTTGCCACCATACCTGGCTTATTGTAATAACCTCCTAATCAGTTTCCATGCTTCTATACCAATGATTCTTCACTTGACAGCCAGAGAGTTCGTTAAAATAGATCAGATCTTGTCACTGCTCCACTTAGTATCCTCCAGTAGTTCCTACTTCATCATGTACAAGCCAAAGTCCTGACAATGCCTAGGTCCTACCTGATTCCCTCTGCCTTTGACCTTGGGTGCTATTGTTTTTCCCCTTGCTCACCCCAGCCAGTTGGCTTCCTGACTGTTCCTTGAACATGCCAGGCATACTACTGTCTTGGAGCCCCTACCATGCTGTTCCTTTATTGGGAACATCATTTGCAGGTTTTTCTCACCTCCTTTTGGCCTTTGCTGAAAAGTCACCTCAGTGTGTCCTTCTGTGACCTCCCTATTTCAAATTGCAGTCCCACCCTGTCAGTCTCAATCCCCTTTCCTGCTTTATTGTTCATAAACTGACATAAAATATCTTATGCTTATTTCTGTTTATTGTCTCCCACTAGATTTTAAATTTTATGAGAACAGGATTTTAGTTTGTCTTATTTATTCCTGTGTCCTCAGCTCCTAGGACACTGCCCAGCACATAGTAGACACTGTAAAACATTTGTTGCAGGAACAAATGATTATCATAGCAAAAGGCTGGACTGTGGTTCTAGAGGAACATGGACTTGAGGCTGGTGGCTGAGGCAGGAACTCATCACCAGGAAGCACACCAAGGATCCAGTTACTCAAACTGGAACACAGGCCAGGGTGGGATCTGTGAGCCAGAGGGATGCCCAGACATCAGAAGTGGGGCATGAGATCAGAGCTTGGCCTGAAACCAGGCTGATGGAGAGTGAGTCTGGTTCTCCTGGGGTCTGTGCTGGTCTCAGGCCCTGTGTCTTGGGGCCTGGGCACCCCATAAGTGGAGACAGAGGACAGGAAAGGCAGGTTGCCCATCAGGGCCTTCAACCACTTAGTATATGTCAAGCAAAGTTCTCCTAGCTTTCAACTTATTCCCAGATGGAGGTGTCAGCAGATTCTCTATATTGGTACAAACTACAAGGAAAACATAAATGACAAAGGAAATAAAAGAAAAAAAGTAAAATGCTCATTCAAGAAACTGAGCTGAAAGATTGAGGAATGGCAGATGCCAGAAGCTTATGACTAGAGGATATCTGTGACGTCAAGTGAGACACCAGCTGAGTAAGCATCTGGAGATTACATTGTCCTATGGATTTTTGTTTGTTTGTTTTTGGTGGAGATGCTCAGGTCAGCTCTGCCCAGGCAAACCTTCCAGCTTGGAGAGAAGAAAACGCTCCACCTAGCCAGCGAAGTGGTGTCTGCAGAAGCCTGGAAAGAGGAATTAGGGCAGGAAGAATTTGGCCAGTTTTCCCTGGAGCTGTCCAATGTACTCTCCAGGAGTTAAACTCAACCTCCCTTCTCCTTCATGTTTCCTGAGAACCTATCCTGTAATTCAGGGTTGCCCCTTCCTGCCTCATTGCAGAAGAGCAAGTTTGTGGACATAGTCTGATCCAACTCCTTCAGCACATGCCTGAGGGAAATGAGGTCCAGAACAATCCAAAGTCAGGGCATTGTCCCTCCTGCCTGCTGGGGAAGCTGTTTCCCATCCTCGTTCCCACTGCACTATGTAGAGAGCTCCTGTTGGCTCTGGGTTCCAGTCCTCCCTGGGTAGCTCTGTGTACTTTGAAAAACTGTGAAACCTCAGGGCATTCACCTGTAAAGTGAGGATGATAAGCAATACTTACTAGCAATGCAGAGGGCTGTTGTGAGGATTAGATTGTAAGGCATGTATTAAGTGTTCAGGGAAGGTTAAACACCCAACCTTGTTACAAGGTCATCAGTTTCACCCACAATGTTTGGTGCAGGATCAAGGGTGGTTTATTTATTTTTTATTTGATGACCTACTGTGTCCCCCTGATTAATCACCCCTTGGGATTTTATATTTTCATGATCACGATTTATATCTTCAAGTATGGAGAGATACACGGGGAGCAAAGCCCTAGCTCAGATCACAGGACTGCTTTGCTTAAGGTTAGCCAGTGCAGACCTGGCAGAGAGAGGGCTAAGTCTTACGGAGCGCGGACCCCGGACCTGCTGTGGCCTGAGAACGGTGCTCCCACCCTGGGAGAATTTTAGGGCGGAGCCCTTCCAGAGTGGGGACGCGGGGAGGTCAAATGCCTGGAGGGGGCGGTAGCACAGGCAAGGTGAGGACTCATCTTGCCTGGGTTTGGCAAAGGGCGGCTTCTCCGTCTGGTGGGGAAGGGAGGGGCTCTCATCCAAGACCCCAAGGACCAGCGGGACACCGAGTACCAGGAGGTGTTCCAGCGCCAGCAGTGGCAGCGTTTTCGGCTGCCCCTCGGGGCTGGGCCCTCCCCTCTCATTCCTCCACCCCAGGGAACCCGCGCAGAGGAGAACACTGGCTGCAGGTGCCTAACGCCTCCTTGGCGCACTCGCCGCCCTTCCCAGCCAGACCTCAGAGAAGCAGTCCCAAACCACCGTGCAGGTGCTGCAGGAAGCGCTCGGGAAAGCAGTGGTGGCCAGTTCTCGTTCCCAGATTTCTGTCCTCGGATGTTCAGGTCCCTGGCGGGCAGCGGCAACCCGCGCAGCGGAGGGTCGGGGGCGTGTGTATGCGTGTGCTGGGAAGGCAGCCCTCCCCGCCGCAGCCGCAGCGCCAGCGCCTCCCCCTTCCCAAGCGCGCACGGCTCGTCCCCGTCCCCGGAGGCGGCCCGAGCCTCCGCTGAGCAGCCTCGCCTTCGCCTCCCGCGTTTCCTGCCGCTCGCCCTCCCCCGGCCCCGTTCCGGGAGCTGCTGCGGAGAGGCTCCCGGCGGGAGAGCGGCTCAGAGCGCGCACGGGGGCGGGCGGAGGCGGCCCGGTTCGGGGCGGCCGTGCAGGAGGGAGGCGCGCGCAGAGACGCTGGCCCCCCTCTCCGCGATTGCTCGTTTACTCCCCGCCTCCCTCTTCGGGCTCCACCCCTTTCCCAGGGGGATTAACTGCCAGGGGCCCTCTGCTTCCTGCGCTGCCGCGGGGGAGAGGAAGACCCAAACCGGAACCTAAGCGGGAGCGGGCGCCGACACATATACCAGTACGCTGTAGTGAGAGCTCGGTCCGGGGGGGGGGGGGGGAGAGGACAAGCGGTACAATTTATTTTTGTGTGTATCCGTTGTATGTACATGTCATATTTTAGTAATGAACATCGAGTCAGTTCTTTCTGAGAGAGAGGGAT